AGACTCTCCATTTCCACCAACCCGGTCAAACCACCGGACATTCACCTTTCTTCCTCTCAATTTTGTAAACAACAGTAACGCCATGAGAAGGTAATGAGTAGGACTTCCCTGATAGTGATTGTAAGCACGTGGCCACCTGATTGAATATCAAGAGAGGGAGAGCTGACTCTTCCCACTCTCAGCCGTACCAGGACTGGATTGAAATTATGAAATCAATGCTTATATTTCATTTAACCATGATTATCATCGAAGACGATCATCCCATGATGGAAATCTCATACATATGTTGATATTTTCCAATATTATTCTAACAATATAGTTATTACATTAATAAAATTAATGAAAGACACTAGTTGTATTGAACAGTCATTAATCTATAGACTTTATCTTCAATTTTGGTAGTTATATATTTAGTAGCAGTTCTTCAGTTCATAGATTCTATCCCTAATTTCAATGGTTAATATTTATGACATCTATGGTAATTTATACCAAAACATTCAATTTAATTTGAAATGTTCCAAATGAATCTTATTTAAATTTATTGATTTATATGGACGAGGTAATAGAATGTTGATAATCGCTTTTTTTTGGTGTGTGTGTGGGGGGGGGGCTAGGAGACTGAACCTGTTGTGTTTTTTTTAATGTTTACTGCGTAGTGATATCAGTCAGGATATGATGTCAAATAAAGTTTAACTTTGCATTAGTCTTAGTAACGGTTAGTATGTATCTGTGATTTTGAAGAAGATATTCAATCAATCAATCAATCAATCAATCAATCAATCAATGTGAGATAACATATTGATTTCTTAGTTGATAATCTTTTTTCTAAATAATTCAAAGACATTATTGTTTATCAGTATTGGGGTTGTGGAGATTATTAAGTTTTTGACTGAGATCATGAATCAGTTGATGTTAGACTACCGTTGGAAACCTGGAAGTAATGGACGGCCGTTTCGTCCTAGTATGGGACTCCTCATTGGCAGTGCGCATCCACGATCCCGCTCACAGGATTCAAACCCAGAGCCTTCAGTCTTGCGTGAGAACGCTTAACCTACTGGACCACTGAGCCGGCCGGCATCCAATGGTGTTAGTGTCTAACATCAACCAATACACGAAATTGCGTGACCATCTTCCATTGTACTGAGGTAGATACCTGTCTTTACTCGACACGGATTATTGTTTACCGAGTTTTCGCTAATTACTCATGTTATCAAACAATCTGTTTTTGTACATTGTGGATTATGTGTTGTGGGATGTCAAGTAATAGGAATTGAAGAAGGAAGTTGATTATGAATACAGTGGTTTTGAGTGCTACTGGAAGTCTGATCATCCCTACTGGGTTGGTGTCTGACGAAATCTCAGCACGGTTTCGAAAAGTTCGTTTAGCTTTTACCAACTTACGTCACCTATGGAGGAGGCGAGATATCCGTCTATCAATTAAAGGATGAGTATGTTGCACAGCATTTCGTTCTGTTCTACTTTACGGCTGTGAAACGTGGCCACTAAGAGTAGAACATGCTCGTAAGGTACTAGTATTTGACCACAGATGCCTTAGAAATATTGCTCACATCTGCTGGGATCATCGGGTAAGTAATAGTGAGGTTAGACGTAGGGTATTAGGGAATGATGATGGTAAACCAGTTGATGAGGTTGTGAATCTTTCACGACTGAGATGGTTGGGCCACGTGTTGCGTATGCCTAAACACTGCAATGCTAACTAAAGTTGAGGATGGTTGAAAAAACGTTAGAGGCGGCCAAGCCAAAACGTGGCATCCGTCTGTAAAGTCCCTAACTTCTAGACTGAGCCATGTTGGTAGACGCAGACTATTTGGTTGGGGTCTGTGTGACTGTGGGTGACATGGTGTAGGTGTATACACTCTCTGTCTTCCCTTAAACTGTGAGATTAAAATCGCATCATATCTTTCTTTGTATGAACTAATTCTTTCTTCCTTATATGCAATCTTTCTTTTATATATTACCACCACTGAATTAACTACTTCTATGAATCCGGTTTTCATCTTTCTATTCTAATGAGGTATGGAAACTTGGACCGATGCATATATGTGCCTGGTTCTACATTGTAGCTGACTGACTGATTGATGTCAAGTAATGAAACATTATTGACTAGTACTCGTCAGCTGAATGAATCTGTAAACTTGAATGAAGCGCCACTTTCTTCAACTCTTCACCCATGTCATACATCGGTTAATCACATTGAAAAAATACTATTACTCAACTATTCATGTCTTGAACTAATGTACAATCAAAATGCATTACACTAACTGACCACTGAGTTGTAACTAATTCTATGTTATTTATTCCATATTATCGACCGAATCCTTTTGATCATAACTCAGTTAAACCGTTTACGATAATGATTGTTTTATTCAGTCTATTTAACTAATTTACCAGTAGACTGATCTATCTTCTGGTCATCATTAGGATTAATGTTTTAATTTGATCAGTTCTAACATAACGATTTTTCAGTTCAGTATTAAACATGTTACATGTAAAGTCAATATACTTAAAGATGTAATGTTGTTAAAGTGTATGAATGGAGATTCCTTACTTACTTACTTACTTACTTACTTATTTAATTACTCACTTACTTACTTACACACTTACATACTTACTTACTTACTTACTTACTTACTTACGCCTGTTACTCCTAATGGAGCATAGGCCACCGACCAGCATTCTCAAACCCACTCTGTCCTGGGCCTTCTTTTCTAGTTCCATCCAATTCTTGTTCATTTTTCTCATGTCTATCTCCATTTCTCGCCCTTATGTGTCCTTGGCCTTCCTGTCCTCATTCGACCTTGAGGACTCCATGTGAGGGCTCGTCTCGTGACGCAGTTAAGTGCTTTCCTCAACGTATGTCCTAACCACTTCCAGCGCTTCTTCCTGATTTCTTCCTCCACTGAGATCTGATTTGTTCTCTGAATGGAGATTTGTTACATAAAATAAACAATTTCATTAATTATATAACTTTAATTGATGTACTTGCAAACTTGATAGGAATTCCGAGAACAATGAACTTCTATTATGATTTCTAAGCAATTCAATAATGACTGCTTGAAATATATATATATGGAGGACTAGTGAAAGTTAGAGGATATTATAAGTTAGATCTATTTTAATTTAATACATTTTGATAGTATATATGAATATTCAATAATATGACTTACGTCTGTTACTCCTCGTCAAGGAGCATAGGCCACTCGCCAGCATTCTCCATCCAACCCTGTCCTAACCAATCCTTTCCAGCTCTTGCCAGTTCTTATTCATCCTTTTCATATCCGATTCTATTTCGCGACGTAACGTGTTCTTTGAACTCCCTCTTTTCCGCTTCCCTTCACAATTCCGAGTTAGCGCTTCTCTTGTGATGCAGTTTGATGATTTGCGTAATGTATGTCCTATCCATTTCCATCGTCTTTTCCTAATTTCCTCTTCAGCTGGAAGCTGGTTGGTTCTCTCCCACAAAAGGCTGTTTCTGATGGTATCCGGACAATGGATGTTGAGTATCTTGCGTAGACAGCTATTGGTAAATACTTGTACCTTCTTGTTGGTGGTTGTTGTAGTTCTTCAAATTTCAGCTCCGTACAGTAGAACTGTCTTGACGTTCGTATTGAAGATTGTGACTTTGATATTAGCTTGCAGGCAGTTGTTTTGAGTTCCATATGTTCTTCAATTGAAGGAATGAGCCCCTTGGTTTGTCAATCCTCGACTTTACGTCTGCATCTGAACCTCCTTGTTTATCGACGATGCTTCCCAGTTATGTGAAGGATTCCACATCTTCCGGAGTGTCGCCATCAAGTGTGATTGGATTGCTGTTCTCCGTGTTGTATTTGAAGACTTTGGTCTTCCACTTGTGTATGTTGAGGCCTACTGATGCAGAGACTGCTGCTATACTGGCTGTTTTTAACTACATTTGTTCGTTTGTATGCGATAGGAGTGCTAGGTCAACTGCAAAGTCCAAATTGTCTAATTGGTTCTGAGTTGTGCATTGTATGCCGTGTTTTCCCTCAGATGTCAAGGTCTTCATAATCCAGTCGATCGCCAGAAGAAATGGGAAGGGAGAGAGTAAACAGCCTTGTCTCACTCCGTTCCTTACTTGGAATGCATCTGTCAGCTCTCCTTCATGCACTACTTTGCATTGTAGTCCATCGTGTCAGTTCCGGATAATGTCAACAATCTTCTCAGGAACTCCATAGTGTCGAATAAGTTTCCATAACAATCTCCAATCTACACTGTCAATAATATAAAGTTGAATTATAACCTTTCAACCTATCAAAATCATTCATTGATCTACGTAGATCAACTTCAATCCATTAGTGAACAAATATATATATACATTTTCAATAGTTGAGATCATGAATCAATTGAAGCTAAATCACCGTCAAAAACTCAAAGCATTAGATGATCGTTTCGTCCTATTTTAAGACTCCTCAGTAATGTGCATCTACGATCCCGCCTCGCAAGATATATCTATATCTATACATATATGTATCAATACAGCACATTTTATAAATGATGAAGTAGAATACTTTAGATAAACTCAAATGATGTTTGTTAAATTTTCATCTCGTTTTTTTTTGTTTTGTTTTTTTTAATTTTACATAAATTGAAATGGCGCTAAACTATTCACATATTCATGCCTTAAATATATATATATATATATGTATATGGCGTCAGTTATATAATGAATGATTTCCCATAGATTAACACTATAACATATCACATTTTTATGGTTGAATAGTTTCCCATATGTTCTAATAAAATAGAAAACAAATTTTTTAACGTAATTACATTTATGTAAGTGTTTCCCGCCGCCTCCTCCTCCTCCTCCTCCTCCTCCTGCTCCTCCTGCTCCTCCCCCTCCCCCCCATCGACTTTATATTCTGTCATTAATATATTAAAAAAAAAACTTCTTCATGTAACTTATATGTTTAATATGTTTGTTTTGTTTTTTCTTTTCTTTTCAATTATCTTCTTTTTAGTACATCCTTGTCATAATTATTGTCATCGAGGACATTGTTACATAATAGATGGGAAACCATATTGCAGGTAAGTCATTTAAAAATGAAAAAAAAAAAACAAAAAAAAAACAAAACAAACTAAACCATGTTTCTGAAAAATGATTTAAAAGTTTATGAGAATGTTAATGATATGTTGTTAAGTATGAGTCAATAGAAAGAGGTAAAGAAAAAAAGGTTATTAGCCTAATTCTTTAACTTATATTACGTAAATTTATGTTCAATAAAAAGGAATGATTGATTAAACATTAATCGATTTTTGTCAGTCAATACGTACGTACGTACATCAATTCGATTTGCTATACCATACCACATTAGCACAGAGATCCAATTATCGATTCAAATCCCATAGTGGTAGAGGTAGTAAAAGTATAAGTAGTAAATAGGGAACATGAAGATTTGAAGATGTTATTCAAGGAGTATAATCCAGTGGAATAGATTTGGAAAAATAAAATACATGAAGAATACAGAAGATTAGAGTTTGAGAGAACATAGAGAGTGGATACGCCATTGCGCCATTGCAAACGATTTTGATCCATATCATTCAAGATCTCTAACCATCGGTCGTTATCGTCTGGCGGATCCCAACCAGGTAGTCTATGCCTACCAACATGGTTCACTCAGTCCACTTGTCAGTGACTTGATGGATTTGTGCCATGTTTTGATCTGGCTGCCTCTAGCTTTCTTCCAACCTACTCCTACAACGTAAAACATCGCGCGTCGGGGCAGTCGGTGATCGGGCATGCGTACATATTAATGATCCTATATTATATTGTAAAGATAACAATTTAAGATTCTATAACAGATAGGTATTATAGAGAATTTGAGATAATGTTAATATCATACATATTAATTGTACTGAATGATGTGCTTTGTTCACATATAAACATACGCACTGCTGAGGAGTTCCATAGTAGAACGAAACGACTGACCATTAATTCCAGGTTTTTTATAGTGGTATAACTTAAATCGACTCATGATTGATATAAACATTAAACAATTATTTTTATTAGTTAGCAATGATCGATAGTGGCTAGCAGTAGAATCCGAGACGCGCGTTTCGTCCTATTTGGGACTAGTCAGCTGGATGTACCTGCATCGCAGACTTGTTGATGTTCGCTCTGGGACTCGAACCCAGCACTATTCGCCTCAAACGCCATCGCGTTATCTATCCACTCAGCTACTGAGTCCTGATACCCACCTGCTTGTGCAAGGAGGTGAATTTTAAATTCACTAGGTATTGTTTGGCTTGTATCTTCCCATTGGGGTTTAAGACTGCAATTGATCAGTCTGTTATTGGCATATCATGAACTCTGGGATGCAGGTATATTCAGCTGACGAGTCCTAAATAGGACGAAACGCGCATCGTGGATTCCGCTGCTAGCCATTATCCATGATCGCTTACTACAAAAAGCTTGTGAATTAAGGTAATATCGAGGCATATGCATAGTATGCACATATGCCAATAACAGACTGATCAATTGCAGTCTTAAACGTCAATGGCAAGATACAAGCCAAACAATACCAAGTGAATCATTTTTATTTCCTAATTCCATGTACTTAAATTAAAGATTGCTTTAGTTGTTAGAAAAAGCATAAGTCTTGTGATATATGAAAGAACTCAGCTTTCAATATGAGACATCATAATTTTTCGAAATGAAGACTTTTTAACTCTCAGGACAGAGTTCAGATGGTTTGAATTGTTTTTTTTTCTGCGAGTTAGTTTTCTATGAGATAGGGCCACTAACTGTATGTCTAACTCTCCTCCTTTATTCGGTCTTGAAACCGGCAGTATCTACAGAAGGACTATAGGCGGAGTTTATTGTTTTTCTAATCGTCTAGATTATTCAGTTGTTTATCATTAGACTGAATTTTGGATCAGTCTTATTTGACATATATACACTATAGTCTGTATACAGGAAGCTTATAGTTGAAAATTATCAATAAAATATATCAAAAGGGGTTTTGTGGAGATTGTAGTAATTTCAATGGTTCAAAATCATGAGTCAGTTGAAGCTAGACCACCATGGATGCGCACTGCTGAGGAATCTCACAATAAAACGAAACGGCTGTCCAGTGCTTCCAGGTTTTCCATGGTAGTATCTAGCTTCAACTGACTCATGATCTTAACCATTGAAAAAAATATATATATAAATTTATAATTCTTACGCCTTCTAAATAGATTTTTAAATTGCATACTTGTTGCAATAAATCTACTTTGGAAATTATTCAACAACGATACTATATATCATAAGCAAAGATGGATGTTGGCTACAAGTATAATCCAGGATGTGCATTTCGTCCTATATGGGACTCGTCAACTGGATATACCTGCACCCTAGACTTCTTTTTAACTCCGAGACTCGAACTCAGTACCACTTGCTTCCTAATCATCAATAGGATGATTCAAGTTAACAATACCAAGTGAATTTAAATTTCATCCGACTGTACAAGCAGGTATCTAACAAAACTCAGTAGCTAAGTGAAGAACATGATAGCATTTGAAGCAAACGGTAGTTAGTTCGAGTCCTAAACTGAGCTTAAACTCTGAGATACAGGCAAATCCATCTGATGAGTTTCAAAATAAGACGAAATACACGTCAAACTGGATTCTACTACTAATCACTATCCATCTTTGTTTATTATACAATCATTTTCAATGTATCAATAGTATTTCATTTCTTTTTTTTTCTCCAAAAGAAAAACATAATCATATTTCAATTCACTATATTTAATTGTTTACACAAATCATCAATCAAAAACAAACAAACAAACAACAACCCCAGCCCCACAATAAACAAGATAATTCAGTTTTTCAATGGTTTAGATCATGAGTCAGTTGAAGCTAGATATCACCATGAAAAACCTGGAAGCACTGGACAGCCGTTTCGTCCTATTGTGAGATTCCTCAGCAGTGCGCATGCACAACCCTCCAAGATTCCAACTCAGGATCTACTGGTTTCGTGCATGAGCACTTAACCACTAGAAAACTGAGCCGACCAACATACAACAGTGTTAATGTCTAACTTCAAGTAATCCACCAAATTGAGTGACACATCCACCATTGTCTTCAGTGAGTTACTATACTATCTCACAATAGACCTGGTTGAACTCTACTAGTCACTAAGACTTCTCACTAGAACTCATGAGCTAAACCATTGAAACTGCTAAAATCTCCACAAAACCCCTTCTGATATTAATCAGTTTTTTCTTTTTTTTAATTTTAAGGAAATAAAATTTTCTTTTTTTGTTTTCTTTTTTTTTTCTTTTCCTCTCAAATAATCATTTATTTCATTTATATTGACATTTATTTAATTTAGATGTGATCCACAATATTTGGGTGAACATTGTGAGGTAGTGTGATATTACTTATTCTATGCTTAATAAGTATGCTTAATACGGATAAAATGATTTAAGCCATGAAAGAACTGAAATTCCCATTAAAGTTTTGTGTATGGATGCATGTAGAATGCAAAAGTTTGTTTGTTTTTGTTTTTAAAGCCTAATTTAGCATGTTTTAATCAGTGTAATAAAAATATGCTTGTGATTTAATTATTATTATCATTATTAAATGTGATAGTGTTAGTTGCTATGCTAAACCCATATAGGTTCTTCTAGCCTTTGGATGGGTAAATTGATTCATTCTTCTTGATTCACATTTTGATCTTGTTCGCTTATCAACCTTGACTGTTTTTATGTAAGTGTATGCAAGTGTTTGTGTTTGTGTGTTTGTGTGCTTTTCTTATCCTATTCATCACATATCTTTAAATTATTTTTGTTTGAATATTAAGATTGAGTTATACTTTATTAAAGTGAGTTGGTTTAATCATATTCTCCATTAGGTGTTATTTTACTTCTCTGTCTTCTCTTTGTTTCATCAATCTGATCGTTTGTTCATATTCAAGAATCCATTTTTTATATTTGAATTATTTAAGTCAGTCATTTTCTATGACTGAGGATTGATGATATGTATATTTTAATAATAATCAATCATACAATTGATTTGAATTCAGATATCGGGCCCAGTAGTCTAGTAGGTTAAGCATTCGCCCATGAGACTAAACAGCCTGGGTTCGAATCTAGCGACCGTGATAATAGATGCTCACTACTGAAGAGTCACATAATAAGATGAAACGGTCGTCTAGTGCTTCTAGGTTTTCGATGATAGTCTAACATCCATTGATTCATGATCTCAGCAATAACATATGAATTCTATACGAATTCAATGGGTTAATATTTTAAAATCTATTTTTTAAACTATTATTTTCGTTGATAATAACCTTATTACTTTTTAGTCGGTTACAACGCAATGTAGTTTAATGATCTTAAATCTAACCGCAATTTGATCGTATATTGATTGGTGCTTGTTATTGAAATATAAATATCGTCAATCCTTGCATATAATTATCGACTTAACTTGCTTTGACGGAATCGAATAAGTGAAATAAGAAAATGGATTTATGGATTTATATACGCCAAACAAATCTCATTCTATTTGCATGTGGTCTGTGATACTAACCGAGTGCCTAGACCGAAGCAGGTGGTTTTCTTAGGGGTCCACACCCAGAGCCTTTGACCTAAAGGTCTGACCCACAAGGCAGTGGAGCATCGTGAGGAGATGCAGTCCAATGGTAGCTGGTGACCAACGATTGGTTCATACACTTTTTCTTTCCTCAGGATCCTACAGCCCATGTGCACCGTTGGGTTGGAGTCAGGGTTTTCCAAATCCCCAGATGGACTCTCTGTGTCCACCAACCCGGTTAGACTGCCGGACATTCACCTTTTGTCTTTGCGATTTCGTAAACAACATTAATTCTGCAAGAAGGCAGTGAGTAGGAATTCCCTGGTAGTGGTTGTAAGCACGTGGTCATATGAGAACATTTCAAGAGGTAGAACAAATTTCCCTCACTACCGTCGGTACCACGACATTTGGGGGTCATTCAACACTGTGATGCTTAAAATGATTCAATTCTGTACTAGAACTTCAGGAATGTACTTTGAAGAGGAGTTCCATACTAGAACGAAACGGTC